AAGAGGACAGAACCATAAGAAGTCCCCAGGCAAATACTTTTGTGCATGAGGAAGAGGTTTAGGATAAAAGTAAGAGAGAGAGAGAGAGAGAGATTTTGGAGCTAATGATACTTAGTAAATAAAATGTAAAGTTGGGACACATTGTCCCTTGGGAAAGTTATGTAAAGGACCATGAATCGGAGAATATCCAGTCCGGTACGTTGACATCAGAACAGATTTCCAGAAGATTCTCTGTTTCATGTTCAACAAATGTAAAAAGTGAAAACTCTGACTCCTTCACATCTCTCTCCTATGGGAATCCAGCTCTGTTTCTGTGAACAGCTACAGGATCTCTAATGTTGTCATTTTAGGAAGCTAGCAAAATGCTCAGGTTTTCTTGTCACTGCATGTCCCCAGCCAGAGCAAACAGATGCACAGGAAAAATGAAAATAGCCTAAGTGATATTCAGTGGGTTAAAGAATTTTTTTTTTTTTTATCATTCAGGAGAGTTTGAAAACATCTTAGGTTCAGTAAAAATACAGGTACAACTAAACAACATTTCCAGCCTCTCTTTTAAAAGTGTACCTGCAAAGATTGAAGGATAACAAAGCAAGGCACTGGGCCTTCAGTTGCTCTGCATTTTGGCAACCCTGTAGCCCATTCTTCGCTTGGCGGGTTTGCTTAAAAAGCAATAATTTGCATTGTGAGCTGAGCATTCAAGGCTGCACCGCAGCTTTAAAGCATAAGGAAGCTTTGTTTCGATCTGTAAGGATCTGAGTGCTGTGATCCCAATCTGCAAAGTGTGGTTAGAACCCATTCAGCCTTTGATCGTGTCTTTCTCATGGGACAGCCTTCAAGCTAACAGGGTTGCCATTGTGCACCCATTTTTCCCTTAATTACTGAGTCATTCTCTGTTTATCACTAGTGGGACCAGAATGTCCCCCAAAATTACTATAACTTTACCATTTTAAGAAGCTTGCCTTTCTTTCATGCTCTGTTTAGAACCACAGTTTCTCTGCAGGGCTTTCTACCATTTTTATTACTTTTTTAAAAAAATGTTGGTCCCATTGTGAGGTTTTAACAAATTGCTGGGCAAGGAGGAATTCAATACATGAAAAGCATTCTCAGTAACTCTGTCTCCATACTGGAACCATCTTTCCTATTTAATTTTTCCCCCAATTCTAAGTTGCTGTGAAAATATAAGCTTGAAAAATAGTGCAATATGTGGCTTCCTCTCATTTCTTACGAAAACACTGATAATAAGTTAAAAGATCAATGATCTTTCTCAAAACATTTTGATTCTAATTCTTAATCCTGGTACGCTGTTAAGGAATGGAATTCAGGTAGTCCTTGACTTATGACTGTAAGTCATTGCAGTCATAAGGTGAGGTATCACATTCAAAGTTATGATCATTTTTATGACAATCTTTACACAAACACCATACTCATTAAGCAAATCCGTTTTCCCAATGAGTGTTTTTTTATCAGAAACTTTATTAGGACCAACCAAAAATCTTTAGTGCAATATTTTGAGAAGTCCAGAATTCTTCATCAGGTTGGGTATTACACAAAGGAGAAATATTTAATGACTAAATATCATTTCTTGGACTCAGTTACTTAGGTGAAACATAACCTTTGCTATAGACCTCAGCTAATTAATTCTACAAGCGAAGAGGCATGGTTTATTTAGTAAACCATATTAATCAAACTTTAGCTCAGCATATGTCTACCCATCAGAATCTGAGTTAGGCTTATGTCTGCAACCTGAAGTCACTGTTTTTTTAAATCTTCAAACCTCTTGCTTTATGTAACAAAGCTACACTGCAATACAGTGCTTTTGGGAAAAAAAAATCTATAGATAAGGTAGTACCACTAAAGCAGTGTCTTATTGCTATGTTAAAGGATCTTTGGGTGAGGAAGTAGAAGTCCCAGGATGTTGGGATATATGGAAAAAACAACATTCCGTTAAGAAAAATATTGTTGACAGAGATAGAATCTTCCTCTGTCTCCATACTAACAATTCTTATGGATGACTGTACAATCTCTTATTCATCAATTCAATTTACACATTTCACCAACCAAGTGTTTTTCAAATGTGGCCATTTTGAGACCTGTGACTTGTGTCCACATATCTTAAAGCTGTCAAGTTTGAAAAACACCGTATTAATCCATAGTATGATGGGAAAGGCAAGAAAACTGGTTGAATTCACACAAATCGAAGATTTACTATAATCACCCCACACAAAAAATATGCTTATAAACCATGAAGACTGAATTATCACATCACTGCTAAGCTTGATCTACCATGTCTGGGCTGCAAAGTTCCAGATTACCACTAGAAGAGCTGCCTTGATATGCTGCGGCTGCTCTGTCACATCCCAACTTTTGACTCCTGTGTTTCAAGAGATGGAAGGAAGGGAAATACTAATGTAAGGATTTTAGTAGCAATGTCAGGTCCAGGTGACAAAAAAATCCAACATGGCACCAAAGACTAAAAGTGTTAACGATCCTTTCGATGCCAGCTAGCGGTCATCTTGATGTTTGCAGCACAGTTAGGATATCCACATGCGAAGTTAAGAGCAAATGAATTATATTTTGGCTTACTTTGGTAGGTGTAGTCTGTGTAGTATAATCAGCCAAGACCCAGCAGATTTAAGAAGACAGCCCCAAAAGAGCTATTGCTTTGTTCTAATTAGTCTGTGGTTTTAGGAAAGCTCTGGAGCTCAAGGCTATGCAAAGCTTCAAAGGGGTGCTTCACTCTGACAAAGATGCAGTTGAATTCCCATGGAAGCAGATTCACAAAATGAAGTGGGGACTTGCTTTGATGTAGCAAACTGAATCAGATGGCCCCAAAGTGGTTACAGACTCCGTGGCTTCTCCGCTGCTTTGGAGGCTTTTTGCAGACAAAATGCAATTTTGCTTTTTCACTTCCATATATGGAGAAGACTGGGGGCGGACGGTGTGTGTGTGTGTGTGTGTGTGTGAAGTATTTTTCCTGACATTTAGTAAGTGACTGGCCAATGAGTTTATCGCCTCATTAAATTCTCTGCCTATCAGACCTCTCTTGGGATGGGATGGGTGGTAGTGCTTCAGGCTTCGTTCATTTTCTTAGTACTCAATGCTCGTTAATGTGGCCAGCTAGAAGGCTTAACTCTGCTCTCTCCTGTGTAAACAGAATTAAAATACACATTTGTGATGATCCTGCCAGCCAATTTAGAGCGCTCTGCATTTCTTAGCATTTTGAATATGGTTTCACAGATGACCAGTCCAACAGCCCTTTGGAGCCATATCTTAGTTTTAAATTCTGCATGATCTGTGCTGGCGTAAGTTTCTCAATTATGAGTGAATAGATTAACATTTATTTATATATTTTTTTCCATTTCTAAAGCTGCCCAGCTTCTTTCACTGATTAAAGGCAGAATATCAATTGAAAATCAAGAAAGAGAGAGGATTTATAAGGGCTCACTCACTGCTTTTAAGAATAAGAGGACAGCAATGCCATTTTCTTTGGGCCAACCTATTCATGGCCTGCATATCTCTATGGCCTTTTACCACAGTGCGCCAGCTTACTTGCTATAATGAACTGACAGAGTGGCAACCAAGCTCTAAAAGTTTATCAATGGGCTTCTCCAGCCTGGTATCCCTTTCTGAGAGGTTTCTTTTCAGGAGCAGCCATGTTTGCCATCCAGCTATCCCAATACACCTGGTACTTCAGAAATTGTACTGATTAGAAGGGCAAGTCAATGGGAATTCTTCACTACATGTGAATCTCAGGATCCCAGAAAACAAAGGGGCTAGAGTTTAAATGATTTTTGAAAAACAATACATTTCAGCTATGTATCAGGAAGTAGGATACTTTCACCACTGATGTATAAGCCTTTTGGGGGAACAATTTAGAGTCTGCTGTGCTATCCTTTTCTCATCCCTGTTAATCTCTGCCTTAAAAATGGCACCAGGGAAATATTTCAAACATTTAGTGAGGTCCTTGACTGCATCTGGCTGAAACGTGGCAGGGTCAATTCCTTCTAAAAAGTCTATCATTTTATTCTGCCAAAGAAAGGAAGGAACAAAAGCAGCTGCAGGCATTTTGATGCTTGCCCATTACTGAATATGCACAAATCTGTTTTGCATTGAATTTTGAAGTAGCTTGGATCATGCCAGTTTGCCCTCAACTTGCAGATGTACATCTCCAAATCCAACCAAGACTAATTGCCCAGAAGTAGTCTATTTTTATTCCTCTTCAAAAATGTATTTAAATGCTACCAGAACAGATATTTATGGCTGTATTTTTCTAGCTAGAAAGTCAACTTTGGCCCGAGAAGAAGAGTTTTTAGAAAGCACTTATTACTGAATGGAATTACAAGATGAATAAATTATGGTTCTAACAAATACAAAAATCATTGGTTGAAAACTAATTATGTCTTTTAACATAGCTGCGTATAGAAAATATTGGTCATCATAAAGTCATCACCTTCTCCCTATGCAAGACACCTAACAATGAGGTTACACTGCCAATTATCAGAGTCACAACTGAAGAAATTATGCCTAACACTTGAAATAAAATTCTCCAACGAATTAACAGGGACAGTGTGAAGTTATCTATGCCAAATGCTGATGTAAATCTTGAGTCTTCAATGCAAGATCACAAAGTTCTGCGTTATAATTAATTTTCATGCCAGTCCTATTAATGATCCACTTTCAGAGCGATTTGATGACAAGAATGTGTCTAGTTGTCAAAAAGATCATTAAACTCTCATGATAATGAGTTCTTTTGATACAAGCTCTCTATTTAGTAATTATCATTTGATTGATTTATCACTGACTGTGGCGTTCAGCTTCATAAACAAATCATGAATTGCTCCATTAAAGTAATGTAAACATTTTAGAATTCCGTAAACTGACTCTACAACAAACCTAGTCAGACAGGATCAACCCGTTTCAAATGCAACCTCACAGCTTGAGGGATAGACATACAACCATTGTGAAAATGACACTGACCACCAAAGACAGGATTGTCTTACCTATTTCTGCCATGATTATCCCTGGAGCTAATTGTCCGCTGTTGCAAAAGCTATAGGTAAACAAGTTTGGTACAGAAGTGAGGTCATAAATAGGTTCTTGCTTGATTTGTTTGATTCCGGTCATGTCTAAGCCAGACTGATCTGGGGAGGGTTGAGCAGAATCCACACTGTAATAACCCTCTGACTTCGGCAAGTCAATGACATGCCCATTTGAATAAGTGCCATCCGTTTCATTGTTCAGGTTGCTTAAGCCATTGCTCATGCTACTGCTGTAGACTCGGGCCAAGGCTTCGGCCTCGCCGCTCTGTTGCTGGCGCTGCTCCTGCAGCCGCTGCTGATGTTTCTGTACCTCAGCATAGAGACTATCCCTCTGCTTCTTGGACATTCTTCCAAACTTTACAGCTGAAACAAGAACAATTTCAAAAATACATTGGTATCCTTATTTTAAAAATATCACTTTGATCTCTATGCCAGGTACAGGGTACTAAGTGCTTCAAACAGGTTTAGAGATCATTAATCTTTAAAGACTATGTCAATATGTGGTTTAATAATGGTTATTGCATAAAGCATAATTGAATGGATTTAGGACACGTACAAAACAGCGAAGGATTTTAAGAAACCACATTTATTGAGAAATTTTTATATGGTATAAGATGTCGATCACTGGAAGTCTTCATTCATTCATTCATTCATTCATTCAGTATAAGAAGCTCCATGGCACCGTAGAGATTGTTTTTCAGTATGCAATTTTTTTTAAAAAATCATTGCATATAAATATCTTATTTTGTCCCAATTAGACCACAGAGAAATATAGCCCTATATATTTGATCCTTACTGTACAGAGGTTGAAATAACCTGTACAGGAACTCAAAGAGAATTAATATTGAGCAACTATGAGCTTATCTATTTTTTAATGGGAGAGAAAATTTGTTCATATAATAGTTCAAGCAGTTCGGTTTTGTTTCCACCTTCATGGTGAGAAAAGCTTTACTTTTATATAATTATTAAAGTACAGAATCAAGATGTTTCTGCATCATTCCCTTGGAAAATCTCAGCAACTTTACCTTAAGACCAGTAATCATGAGAATAATCTACTAGAAAATAATAGACCTAAAGTAATGACTCCAGATGCAACAAGAAATGTTTAGCTTTAACTTCATTCTATTTAATAAATAGTTTGTTAGTTAAATTAATGGTCTGTCCATTACAGTGAATTGAAGTTTTACTGCATACACTATTTATGTCAATTATATAATTATAGATATAACATAAATGGATGTAAATTAGGTAATTTGGATTTAATGGAAATTTTAATGGAAAGATGATTCTCCATACTCATTATTGTCATAGATTCACATATCAGGTTTATCAGGATTGTTTTACAGTTGATTTCTTCTTTGAAGTTCTGTAAATTTCAATCAAAATAGTCTGCCTTCTGATTCTTCTAGAAATCTATTAGGTAGAATATCTATCTATCTATCTATCTATCTATCTATCTATCTATCTATCTAT